ATCCCACAGCAGGGATCACTCTGCCCTGGCAGATCCCACAGCAGGGACCACTCTGCCCTGGCAGACCCCACAAGGATTTTTATTCAGCACCAGAAGTCCTATGTCACAAACAGCTGGGAGGTCCCCTGGTGCCAGCTCACCTCCTTCCAGTTGCTAAGAACACTCCCAGGAGACTCCTAATACCATCTCCTTCCACAGGCAGGCAGTCCTTTAAGGATGCTGGATAAAAGAAGTCACCCACAAACATCACCAGCAAGGAGCAATGCCCACCAGGAGACCCACCCTAACCCAGTGCACAGGGTATGTCAGCACTCCCAGCTGAGTCACAGTTGCCCAATAACCCCCCAAATAACCCCCCAAAACCCATCAGGTCCCAGGCTGTAATTTGTGGGCAGCCCTGCATCTATAAATTCCTGTTCCTGCAGCTTGTGCTCCAACGTGTACCTTACTTTTTAACTCCCCAGCACTTGACTGCAGCTGCAGTTTGCTCTTTAAATGGAAGCCTTGGATTGATTCAAGACTTCCTGAACTCATTTCTGCTTGAGAGTGTCAAAACCACCTATTAAACTCCACCAACAACTCAACCAACCTTACTCAGTCCTAAACAAACCCAGCACAGAAATAAAAAAGGCTACTCTCCTAAAAAAACAGATAAAAGCAGAAAATGAAGAAAGAGACATATTTTTCAGAGGTGTGATTCAGTCACGTGAGCAGTAACCTCAGCAAGGGTAACTGAGATGAGCAGCTAGGAGCAGAGATGCAAACCCTCAGCATAAGAGAATAAAGGGCAAGATGACTTACAGAAACTTACTGACCTCATATAGGACCACACACTTTCTCTCTACACTGACAACGTGTTAAAAGGAACTTCCTCCTCTTTTATTCACAAGGAAATGGAGGTATAATACAATTTTCAGGAGAGAAGAGCTGTTTTTAAAGCAAAACCAAAAGCAGGGTTATAAAGCCTGAAATAAGCAACAAGCACTTTCATCACCAGGTAAACCCGAAACATTTAGGAGCCTGGAAGCCCTCAAGGTTCAAGGACTCTGGGGAATGAAACCACCAAACACTTCAGCCAGGTGATGAAAACAGTGAATTTTGCCATATAAAACTATCACCTGTCTGGCTGAAATTCAGAGGAACAACCTGCACTTCCCAGGATCACCCTGGGAAGTGAAGGGCCCAATGCACTTAGACCCACTGCTCCTACCCTCACACCAAACCAGCTCCTGAATCCTTGAGGACCCAGCAAACAACACCCTCAGGAATTCCTGTATCTAATTTTACATGGTCAGTGAATGTGGACAAACTAGAGTAACGGAGCTGGGAGTGGGATAAAAATGGTAATTAATGCAGAAACCTCCCAGAGCTGAATGGCTGAACAGCACAATGCATTAATGATCCCATTTAGGGGCTATTAGGGAACTGCTCTGCTCAGATGAACCACACTCAGAATAAAACCCCAGCACCTGCACACACACAAAAAGGACCAGGAAGGAAAAGTATTCCATGACAGACACACACAATAGTTAATCAAAAATGCTTGTTTCTCAGGAGTGTGTAAACCCCAAATTGTTTTAGTTTGTGTCTTTTTTTTCTTTTTAATACAACCTACTGATTTCACAGCACACCATCCAAATATTGGACAGCACATTACATTCCCTTGACAATTTAGCTGTTCAAACGTTGTGTTTGTTCAGGAGATAATTATCTGTAGCCTGGGGAAAACACAAACTGCAGAGACACGTGTTTGGTTTGTGCAGTTACCCAGCACAGCAGCCACACCACTCCCACCTCGTCACTCAGAAACTCCCCTCTGCTCAGCCCACATCCAGCAAACAAAACCAGGCCCCTGTGTGATACAGGGCATATGAGATCTCCTCTGCCCACCCTCATTTCCCAACAAACCCCAACCACTCTGGGTTATGATTTCCAGGGCTGTATCCTGTTTTACCGTTGTTTGGCCACTGTCACCCTGAAAGTCTCTAACGTGATATTCCACCACTTCCCCAGTTTAGAGAACAAGGATATTTTCATCCCCTGGGCTCCCAGGCCGAGCAGTGCCTCGGGGGATGCTGTTTGCAGGGGTTAAGGACCTGCCTCTGAGCCCCTTTGGAGACACCCCAGACACATCCCCCCCAACACGAGCTGCTCCTCAGTGCCGGGGGGACTCGGGGACCGCTCCAGTGGGCGGCTGTCACCCCTTACAGAGGGCACAGGCAGGAGCTGGGGGTGCTGTACCAGCCTGTACCAGCTGGTTTGGGGCACCCAAACCGGGGTGACGAGCCCCACGCCCCGCAGAGCCGCTGGCACCGGGGGCACGGCAGTGCTGGGGCTGAGCCCCGGGGGCTGCAGGGCTGGGCAGGGCAGGGCCAGGCAGCGCACACGTGGCCCGGGGCGCTGCGCTGCTGGCGGGGGGACACGGTCCCGTCCCTGGGGGCGCCGGGGGGCGGCGACTCACTCGGTGATCTTGGGGTCGAGGTTGCCGATCCAGAGGCGGTGCCCGTCCTGCAGCGCGCCCTCGGACAGGATGGAGGCGTTCTCGAGGGGCAGCGCCTGGCGGCCCGGCTCCATGGCCGCGGGGTCGATTCGGGCTCTGTCCGGGGTCGGTCCGAGGGCCGGGCCCGTCCCGCTCTCGCCGCCACCGCGGGGCCGCGCAGGCCTCGCCCCGCCCTTGGCGCCGCTCTATGACGTCACGCGCGCACACCGATGACGTCGCCGCGACGTGCAGGGCCGCGCGACGGTGAGCGAGGCGGCGCCGCCCGCCCTCCTTCTCCCCTCCGCCGCCCCCGGTTGCCCATCGGCCCCCGGTTGATCCCCGCTCCCCCATCGATCCTCCGTTCCCAGCCCAGCCTTCCGCAGGGCCTCGGGGGGCGGCCGGGCCGGGCCGGGTCGGGCCGGCGCGTCCCAAGGAGCGGGACAGGCGTGGGCGGGGCCAGGCGCGGGGCGGGGCGCGTCCCCAGGGGCGGGGTCATGTGGAGGGGCGGGGTCCCGAGGGGGCGTGTCCTGCGCGCACGTGCAGGGAGCGGGAGCGGGGTCGGCATTCCCGGGACCCCCGCACCGGGAACGGGGGGAGCAGGGTCCAGGGAGCCGCAGCGCACCGAGGGCCGGTCCCTCCCTCCACCGCCCCGGCGGGCACCGAGCCCCGTCGGTGTTAGCGCGGCTGCAGGAACGCCCCGCAGCCCCGGGCAGCCGGAATAAATAAACCCCGTGAGTGCGGGGGAGCCGCGGGGTGTCAGACCTCGTGTGGCAGAAGTTTCAGCCCACACCCGGTACTGTACGAGCTGCTCCACCTCGGCAGCCGCGGGGTTTGTGCCAGAGGCCCGTGCCCGTCTGCACAGATGTTCCGAGCCCACACCCATACCTGGCAACCACCGAGCCCTTTCCACTGCAGATGCCCGGACCCAGAGCCCACGTCACTGAGCTGTCACCTTGTGCCCATGAGTACCACTAAGCCCTAAATCAGGTTGTTTTTAGCAGTAGCCCCCCTGCCTTTCTCTCTTCCAGGTGGGTCAGAGAGGAGCTGGGATGATGGCTCTGGCACTGAGGTGGCTCCGTCCTCTCCCGTCCATGCTGCACCGTTCGTCCTTCCTGCTGACCAGGGGGCTGCCAGGGGCTCCCACGGGCTGCCCTGCCCTGCTCCTGGAGGGCTGCAGGCAGTGTGGCCATCAGGTGCTGCTGAGCAGACAGCTGGCTACCAAAAAGGGTAAAAACAGCAGCTTTTTCCTGGTTTTGCAACCCCTCTCTCTCTCCATAGTATATATGTATGTATTTTGGCTCATGTGCTCAAGTACTGGGCTTTTTAATCATTAAAAAGTACAGTTACTTTGGATTATCTTAGAGTCAGTTCTGAATTGAGTCTACTTTCTGATGCAGCAACTAACTGTTGTCACAAATAGAAATTAATTTTTTTCTTTTTGTGCAATCTGCAGCTAAAGGTAAAGGGCAGAGCCAAGCCAAAGTGAATATCAGTGCTGCCCTAGTTGAGGATATTATCAATTTGGAGGAAACCAGTGAGGACATGCAGGCAGTCATAGAAGCTCTGAAAGAAGATTTCAGCAGGAACATCAGTGTTAGAACCTCACCAGGTTGGTAACTTCCTTGTGTGATACTCTGTGGCCCGTAAATAAGGTTACAAATCCCAGTAACGGAGAACTCTGATTTTTTCAAAGTTGATTTTCTTTTTCTGGAGTTATTTACGGGGCACCCAGTTACTGCAGCCTTGACATCCCAGCTAAAGGCTTTCTTCACCCTGAGCTTGACCAGGAAGAATCCATTTTGGCTAATAGCTTCCTGGAAATAGCTTTTGTAAGTGGGAGATGTCAAAAGTCTCTAACTGAACTGTTTGCAGATGTGATGGAGAAGCAGGTTGTCAGCTAATGGTGCAGTAGGGCAGGAAAAATCCAATTGCCATCAAATTAGCCTTTTGGAAATTGCCATCAGGCTGGTGTCTGGCATATACAAACTTTTTTTTTGCCGTGCGTCTTTGTGGGCAGTGACCTGTACAAGCCTCGTTCACTTAGTGGATTTTGTGCTTTAGGAAGAAATGTGAATATATTTGACTAAGCCACAGTTACTATAACACTCTTAACCCACGCATTTGTGAGTGTATCAAGTTTCAGGGATAAAATTTAACATTAAACAATGACCAAATTTGAATCATTCACCACCCCAGCTCTGGCAGGGGCACTTCTGTCTTTAATGGAGTTGGAAAGCGTAGCTTGGTCTCTTAACTATTTATTTTAACCATAGGTATTTTTTTTAATTCTACTGATAAAGTACCTCCTGTCCCATGTGCCTTTTGGCCTGTTAACATTTTGCAGCAGAAACTAGAGAGCAGATTAAGAGTAGCTCAGGGAGAAACTGAATACCTTAAATTAGGCAGTGTACAACACCCCTCTGGGGACCTGGGGAAAAAAAAAGAGGGGTTTAAGAGAGCACTGCTAAGTTAAAGACAATATTTTTCTTGATTTTTACAGCGACATTTTTATTTTCTTTAAATACTAAGGATTAAAAAATAATTATTTCCTTTTCATTCTTAACAATCCTGCTTAGTTTTTCTATTCTAGTAGCAAAAACAAACACGAGTTTTGTTTTCATGTTTTTGTGCTTTAGAGCAGCTTTGAAATATTTAGCTTGTGAATACACAGGGGGTGCCTGAACACAAACAGCACCTGAAGTCTGAATAAACACGTTTTTTTTCCTTTGTAACATCTATATTTTGCAAAGCAGGAGGGAAGTGGGACGCTGTAGACGCATTTTTCTTCAGCACTGCTGCAAACTGCTGTATCATACTGAAAGTGCCTGTGTTTGGTTCTTTTGAGGGGCCCTGGATCACATAACTGTGGTGACCAAAGATGGGAAGTTTCCACTGAACCAGCTGGGGCAGATCTCACAGAAATCACCACAGCTCATTATAGTGAACATGACCAGTTTTCCAGAGGTAAGGAAGGACACATGACTGAAGGCAGTGGGAAGGGATAATTACCAGGGGAACAAACAGGTTGATGCTGAGCAAAGGAACACTTAGACAAAATCAGTCAAACGTGGCAGGGCTGGGAGCTCTGGCTGGGCTGTGTCACTTTGTGCTGACACAGAACAGAAGGGGTATTTTGCTGCTGACAGTGATTCCCCAGCCCTGCCTGGCTCACAGAGCAGCTCACCTGCAGCTGTGAGGGGTCACAGGAGAGTTCCATGCTGGGATTGCTCTCAGGGCTGTATCCAGTGAGTGCCACACTGCGAGGGGTTTGCTCTGGGGAGTGCTTTCCTGGCAGGTGGATCTGCAGAGCAACATTAAGTCACAGACAAGATTCCCTGTGCCCTGCCAGCCCTCCCCTTTTGCCATGTATTTATGGCACCCAGCAGTCCTGAGCACACACACACACTCACCTGAGTGACAGATGTGTCTCTGACACTGTGCCTGCCCTGTTGTGTTAATTCAGTTCCCTGTGAAGACGTGGCCAGGCACAGAAACAGCTGTGTAGCTGGAACTTGTGCTGGACACACCATCAAACACCTCTGGAACTTGCTTACTTACCACCAGGGCTGGGGACACCCCTGAGAGCTCGTGGGAGAAGCTGCTGATGGAGCTTGTGAGCTTGAGGAGCCTCCCTGGTGGGACTGAGCTGTGCTCAGTGTCACAGAGCTCGAGCTGGGCACTGCTGAGGTTGGTGAGCTCCTCCTTAGGCAGCGTCTGCAGGTCAGAACACAAATGAGGTGCTTTTAAGTTATCTTCTGTGAGAGACAAGTTCCCTTAATTTTCTGCAGGAGCCTTAGACTTGCCCCTAAATGAGGCAGCAATGCAAATCCCACCTGGGGATTGAGGTGCCCTGCAGCTCCCACAGGCAGAGCCAGGTAATGGGACCAGGAGCCAGCGCAGGGTCAGCGATTCATCTCACCCCACGTCTGGAGGTTTGCCAGGGCTTATCTCTATTTATTTTGCAAAGGCTTTCCCCTATTAATTAAGTCAGCAAAGTCTCAGAGGAGGTCAGTGTAAGGCACTTGATGCCTAAGTGTTTCTTAAAGTGTACAAAGGCTCTGGAGAACAGAGGACCCTCATCAGCGAGTGCGCCGAGGTCCCGCAGAACCGGCGCTGAGAGGGCCAGGGAAGGCACTCCATGACTCACCCCGTGTCAAACAGGACCTCAGGCTGAGAAATGGGCATGTGAGAAATTAGATATCCTCTGTATAGCATTGCCTGCATTTGCTTTCTAAGCCAAAGGACCACTTGTCACTTGAACTAGAACTGTTTCTCTCAGTACAGTTGCTTTATACCATAACTGTTCTGTGATGGACTGAACTCTTTAAAACCATTACAAACACGATTACTTGATGTCATCATTTACAGCATATCGTCAGTACTTCATGACATTGAGAAGAAAATAAAAGTGCCTGAAGAGTGAGAAATAAAACAATCATAGAAAAGGACTTGCAGGGCCAAAGTGTGTTTGCCCAAGAGTTATAAAACTGAACAAGATGCTGGTTTTTTAGGTATGGTTTTTTTTTCATGGGCTGCAAGAGGATGGGGGCAATATTACAGTATTTCCCCCTCCTTCCACCTCCTCCAATATCTGTGTTAAACAACACAGTTTTTACAGTGTGTTTCTTTCCACTGTCCCTTTTTATTCCTAGCGTGCTGAGATCATTTTGGTTGCATTTTCTCTGCCCTTGTAGTTTCAGAGGACAGCAGTTGTCTCTTACAGAACACCAGCAGAGCATTCATTAGGTTCAGTGATGTCACGTGTCAGGGACCTGAACAAATTTGCAGAGCTTTAGTTTGTGCCTCAGATGACAAAAGCTGAGCTTCACAAATACGGTTTGAATGACATAAACACTGCAGCAGCCTGGAGCTAAAGTTAATGATGGCAAAGAGTATCAGAAATAGCATCGTGCCTGGTAGGAAACACCACACAAGTGCCACAGGAACACAAACTCCTTGGGCTTGGCAATGTCAAGAACAAAACGACCTGGCAGAGCCTTGCAGGAGCTCCCGGCCAAACTCTGCTTTAACTCTGCCTGGCACTCTCTAGAGGCACAACCTGTGCCCTGGGATGGAGGTGAAGCCTTTTAATCACCTTGCAGTCACCAGGAAAACCTGCCACCCCACCTTTTAAGCAGAGCAGAGCATCAGCCAGTGGCAGGGGAGTTTTGAGAAGTTAATCCTCAGTAATGAGCTGTAAAATAAACACGGAGCTGGGCACGGGCGCTGTTTCTCAGCCATCTGCTGCCGCCCCGATGTCCTGTGGTCAGGTTGTAGTGCTGAAGTGGTTAAGTTTGTTAACGTTTCAGAATTGGCACTGGGTGATTTCTAGTGGGAAACATTCAGCTGGAATTTTTAAATGCTCAGAATCTTTCATCTCCTTCGCCACAGTCAGGCTCTGCCTTGGGAATTTATTGCGGTTTCACTCTGTGTTGCCTCAAACCATTCGAATAGTTTCAAAGAAACAAAACAGTTTTCTTTTGTTGTTGCCTGCCTGCCTTCCCCTCTCCCCCCCCCCGTCCCCCCCCCCCCCAATCCGAGCGGCCGTAGTTTCCCATTCGGTCTGATCAAAGCTCTCTGCACCAATGTAACTTCCTGATCTTACTGGTAACAGAAGTAAATGTTTCCATGTTCCATGGAGATGGATTGCCAACTATTGACAGAGTTCTGGCATATGGGAATGATTATTTCCTAATTCCCTTTTACCTTTTGATCTGCTTTACAGAGCACAGCTGCAGCTATGAAGGCTATAAGGGAGAGTGGCATGAACCTGAACCCCGAGGTGGATGGGACGATGATTCGGGTGCCAGTTCCTAAGTGAGTATCACTGCCCAAGCTCATCACCATGCAAGACAACACAGTAGGTTGCAGTGAGTGCCCTTCAGAGGGTAAACGTGCATGACTGCTGAATATCCTGATGCAGCTGCTTTCCAAATAGCTGTAAGTTCAGATCTGGAAAAAAATCTGAGCCCCTAAAAGCGTCTGGTGGAACCTCTTCCAAGTGCCTGAGCTCTAAGTCATCACATCTTGGCACCTGGTGGTTGGTTTTGCTCTTCATCCTCCCCCTGCAGAGAAATCTTGGTCCTTGCTTGCTGCAGCACTTTGCAGGAGAGCCAGAGGCTTTTGAACCTGTATTGCTTTAACCCAGGAGCTGATTCTTTGCTGCCCTGCTCTAAATTCCCAGAATTACACCAGCAAAGAGCAGCAGTAAGGCAGGAGTGAATTTAGTGAACCAGTAGTATTAGGGATGAGTAGCACCTTGGTGCAGAGAGCACTAAAAGGAAGTGGTGAAAGGGAGAGGCAGGAAATTTATAGCTTTGAAAAATCTGCTCCCTCTTCTCATCTAATACACATTGTGTAACTGATGGCTGCATGGAAGTTTTGGTGTGGGGCTGATGGAAAAGCAGGCTGCCCCTGGCCAAGGCATGAGCATTGCTTCCCTCACCCATCACGGGTGTCTCCCAGCCCTTGGACAAGGCAGGAGGTGCCACTGCATCCATGCTTCAGTTGTCATCAGGAGAAGCCATCCTGATGATCCCTTAGTATGCTTTGGACTGCAGCATGCTGGGCTCTGCCTGGGAATGGGGGTCCTTTCAGGTGAAATTAGGGCTCCCAGCAGCTCTCCTTGCTGGCACAGTCACTGCCTGTCCCAGGGGCACAAGGAAAGCTCACAGGTTCCTGTGGGTGCTCAGACCTTATGGAGCATCCAAATCCTCTGGGCAGGTGTGGCTGTAGATGAACTCACACCCTGGGGTAAAGAGAAACAGCTCTCACGCAGGGAGTGCACAAACCCCTTGCACAAGCAGGTGACTTCTTGGTAAAGATGAACCAGGTATTTCTTATGCTTTAGATCTCCTTTAAAAAAATTCTATGGAATTTTACCCAGCATTTTCATCAGAGAAGTCTAATTGCAGCTTTCCGTTGCAGTCGGTGAGAGGCAATGACATTATCATTCTATTTGCTGATTTTCCTTCCCCGTGCTCCCTGCCCTTCCCCCATTCCTCAGGAGAGGAGGCAGAGGAGGAGGAGGGCACCATTATCTTCATAATTGCTGAGGCTCCCGGGTTGCTGCACAGTGGTTTGATTGTTAATGGGCACTTGGGTCATCCTTGAATACGAATTGCAGGGGAGGAAACTCCAAAACTGCAGATCCGGAGCTTTAACAAAATACTGTGTTTTTAAACAAATGTGTATGGTCTGTCACCATCTTCTGTGGAGCTGCAGAGCAAAAACAAGTCTTCTCTTCCCAGGGAAGCTCTGCCTGGTGTTCTCCAGTGTTCCTCTGATGTGTCAGGGTTGCAGCTCCTGGTCACTTCCTGGCTGCCTGGGAGCCTGGGAAGTCCTGAGTTAAGTTTTTTTGGGAACTGTGCCCTGTGGGTCTGCCCTCACTGGTACCTCTAGTCCCTTTTGGTCTCCAGTTACATGACTGGGTCTTTGGGAGTTTCATCCACTTACTGAAAAGACAAGCAGACAGTTCCAGCCTTTTAAAACCCCCTATTGCAAAGAGTGGGCCAGAAAAAATCAAATTCTGCAAGAGGCCTCTCTTTAATACTATATCCCTGAATTGCTTTTTAAAATTTTCTAGGTTTTTCATCATTTCCAACAGTTTATGAGAGGATATATGACAGACAGATGCAGTAAAATTGCCCAAATTACGTCTGATATGGAAATTGAGCAAACACATCCAAAATTAAGAGATATTGATATTGTTTCTGCAGAAATTGGTTCTTTCATGAAAAGTCACACTAAAAATAAAACCAAACCCAAATTGTCCTTACCTGTCATTAAAACCACTTCTCACTCTGACCTGTCAGCTGGACACACGTGTGTCATATTTTGCCTTGTGCAGGTCCAGCTGTGCTCCAGAGTGTTTCAGCTGAGCATTTAAAAGTGAAGTTTGCTTCTCAGTATTTATTCTGTTAGTTTAGGTTTTGCACTGCCGTTTCAGCAGAAAAAATACACTCTTGTGGTTGGTGTTTACTTCTGCTGCCTGCCAGGATCCCTCTGCTCCCCGAGGCATTCGCCTGTTTCTGTGGCTATTGCTGCATAGGCAATATTTATTTGTATAAAAAAGTAGCCTCTGGGGGTTTAAAAATAAAAATAAAAAAAGGAACCAGCCATGGGAACGTTTGTATTGGTTGATCTCTTGGCCGAATTTGACCTGACCTTGTGTCTTTTATGGTATTGCCTCATTTTTAGATTCATCTTTTTTGGACCCATTGTGTTACACTGGATATTGTTTGTAAATCAGTAATATTTTTACACATGTTTTACTGAAAGCCAGATGACTCATTTGAAAGTTTAATGACTCATTGTGAGCTTTTTTTTTCCCTTTGCCCTTTAAGAAATGTGCAAAGATACCTATTATGGGGAGAAAGGACACAAAAAATCTCACTTGAAAACACACCAAGGCTGCTCTGAGCTGCACTCGCTCATCGTCAGGAGTCTGTCACTTGCTTTTTATTGAGCAATAAATGCTGCACCCTGTGTTTATCTGCAATTATGAATGCAGAGTGTTTAGTTCAGCCTGCTTTGCTTTAACTGATCCCTCTCCTTCACAGGAAATTCCTCGTGTTTGAGATAGAGAAATTGCTCTTACCCGGATAAACGTCTTGCGTTGAGACGAGCCCTGTTGAGCTCGCTGTGGGTCTGCTCTGCCAAGGGCTGCAGTGCTTGAACCACTGGAGCTGGGGGAGGCAGAAAAAAAGATGTTACTCGTGGGATGGTGTGTGTTGTGACCCCCCCTGACATGTCATTCACCAGGCTTTGTCCTGGTCCCTGGGGGAACAGCAGGAATTGAGCCCGCTGCTCTGTGAGCTGCAGGAAGGGCATCAGGGGTGACAGATGGGGACCTTGTCCTCATTCCCCACTCTGGCACCCCTTCCCCAAGTTCATTTCACACTTTTTTTTAGCTTTAAGTGGGGGTAGGGATTACTAGTAGGGATTGGCTTATAGACAGAAAAGAAAACATACCTAAGAACAGCTTAAAAGTCCCACATCTAGGGGCAGGATTAAACAACTGTCCTTAGAAACCATGGGCCTGGCTCGTGTTGATGGATTCCTTAACCAGAAACAGCATCTGCTTGGAAAAGCGTCCACTTCTGGCATTGTTGGTAGCATTGCTGAGAATTTACACACAGTCTGGCTGGAACATAAAACCCGCTGAGAAACTCCCCGGCACTGCACGGTGATAAAAAGAAATTGGTGTTAATAAAGACAGACAAGGAGGCATGAAAGCTGTGACCCCGTGCCAAGAAGCAGAGGAAATCTGGCAGCGCTGCATAAACAAAAACATTTCCTTCAAGGCTCGGCAGCCCCGGGCAGGCGAGTGATACCCTCGGCTCAGCTCAGCTCGTGAAAGCCGCGCTCGGCTCCCAGCGCTGAGCGGCTCCCCCGCCACCCAGCAGGAGATGGGAGAGATTTCCAGCTCCCCCCTCCAAGCTGAGCAGCCAGGATTGACTCCCCCCCCCGCCCCAAAAGCTGCCTGAGAGTCTGACCTCACGGGGACCTCTGCCTGTGAGCTGGCTTTGGTGGTTCCAAATGTGCTGTGGGAGCTCTGGCCGGGGAGGTCGAACACGAGAAGCCCCGGAGGCACCGATGGGATGTTGGGATGCAGGGAAACCACGAGGATCACAAGGATCCCTGCTCGCTCCTCAGCCCGTGCTGACCAGGAGCTTCCTGCCACATATGATGAGTTAGGTTGGATCTCAGGGAAAGGTTCTTCCCCCAGAGGGTGGTTGGGCACTGACCAGGCTCCCCAGGGCAGTGGGCACAGCACCAAGGCTGCCGGAGCTCCAGGAGTGTTTAGACAATGCTCTCAGTGACAGGGGGGGATTGTTGGGGTGTCCTGGGCAGGGTCAGGGGTTGAACTGATGATCCTTGTGGGTCCCTTTCAACTCAGGATATTCTGTGTGACATTCCCTGGCCATCTCCCAGGGAGGGGACAGGCACCCTGGGTGCCAGGGCTGGGATGCTGCTCTCTGGGTCTGTCAGCTTTCCTAGCCATCCCAAATTCCTGTAATTTCTGACTGGTTCTGGGAAGCCTGTTCCCTCTGGCACCATGAAATAGAGATGGCTGGCAAGAGGCCAGTGCCTCTGCAGACATCTGCTGGGAGAGACCTGCCTGCAGGGAAGGGACCTGCTGGCACAAGGATCCCACTGTGCCCCCACAGCCTCCCTGTAACACACACCCACTGTGGGGCAGAGCTCAGGCACCCCCACCCCACATTTCCTGAGCTCTGCAGGAAAAGTCTTAGCCCCAGTGTTTTGGTGACCCAGGCTGCTACAGCCAATTTCTAAATACTCCTGTGAAATGTTTATTTTGCAATATCTCCCTTGAGCTAGCAAGTCTCAGCGAGAGCACCGGGGTTTTTCCCTCTCCAGGCAGCCTGGAAACTCCAATAGCCATGAAAATTATTAAAATATTATTGTTAAGCACTAGCAGTTGACAGTGATCAGCTGTAGGTGCTGGAGCATTACCAGAGCTGAGGGGACACCCCAGCCATTCCTGAGACTTCTTGATGGTCAGACCCTCTCACCACCTGCAGTTTTCAGTTTGGAATGGGAAATTCAGGATTTTCTTGTGGCACCACAGCAATAATTGGCCCCATGTCAGGGGGAAGGTGGAGCTGAAGGTGGGCCAAGTTACCTGTGGCTGACCATGTCCAGTAGCATCCTCTTGTCCAACCAGGTGTTCACATCATCTTGGTGGGAAATCCTGGTCATGGTGAGCTGGAATAAAGTTGAGTGAAAGATAAACTCTGTAGCTTCCCAGTCCTTAATTCAGGCTTTTCAGTTGCAGGAAGACAAATCTGAGTTTCAGGAACTAAGATTTCCTCCCAGCTTTGCAGGATTATGCTTTTCAGGATGACACTTTTCAGTTCTACCTTTCAAGCCTGGAGCTGGATTTTTCCTCTTTCCCACAGATGCTTTGGCAGCAGGAAATAAGGAAAGTCTGAACATTTCAGCATGACTTTCAGTCACTGCAGCAACAACTATAAACCAAGTAAGATTCAGTCCAAGTTCCCCAGCTTAGGGCCAGGCTGGAAATTTTTCGTTCTAGGCTCAAGACTTGCTGCCCTGGGGATGCTGTGCAGAGGTGGCTGTTTTTTCCAGGTGGACCAAAGCAGAATAAAAACGTGCCCTGAGCTGTTCAGTCCCTCTGCCCTGTGACACACAGGGCCTCCAAACAGAGCAAGGTCTGTCTAACACCAGCAGCTTTTGGGTGTCCCTGGCCAGGGCCTCACCATTCAGAGAGGATCACTCATTTACCCAAAGTCCATCACAGAAAATAAATCTGGCTTTACCACACATTACACTGTTTTTCTTTTGGTGTTTTTCCTCTCCCTGTGTTTCTAGGGTCACCAGGGAGCACAGGGAGAACCTGGCCAAGCTGGCCAAGCAGGCCACCAACAAGTCCAAAGAGGCCCTGAGAAAGGTGCGAAGCAAAAGCATCAACCAGGTAAAGAAGTCCAAGAGCAAAGTGTCAGAAGATACCATCTATCTGCTAGAAAAGCAGGTAATTTTCTTCCCTTCTGCCATATCTTGGTGTCTCAGAGCTCAGTGGTGTGTTTGTCCCAGCCCTTGCTGACAAATCTCCATCACTGAGAACCCAGCGGGGGAATGGGCTGTGGTTTTGGAGTTGGTCAATGGCTGTTGTATTTGCTTTTCCTTTGTGAGATTGGGGACTTCAATCTCAAAGCCAAATTTATGATATGAACCATGATAAGCTGACACAGGGGAAAAAACATTCCCCAAAAGCTTTTGCACTACGAGGAATTGTTGCATAAACCAGCTGAATTTGGGGAGCAAAACAATCCACGTCCATGTCTGTACCACCACTCACCCAGTGCCACTGCAAACAGTGGGTGTTAATGAGGATTGTTTCAGTTGTTATTAATGAAAAGGCTAGCAAGATTATCTCTGTCCAGAGTTTTTGGCTCCAATTCAGGAAAATACTTAAGCACATGCCTAATTCCCTAAGAGCAGATGTCACTAAAGTCAATTACTTGGGCATAAACTCAGGCACAAGCCTAAGTGTTCTGCTGAATTGATGCCTCTGAAGGCAGGCCATTACTTCTTAGCTGTTTGTTTATTAACAGCTAAAGTTAGATACATTGCAAATGCTCTGGGACAGTTCTCTGTGTGCTCACAAAAATAAACATCGATATCCAGAGTGTTTGTGCAAGCAGGAAAAATGGCCATGCCATTGTAACCAAATCCTGTTGGGAAGCAGCTCTCCCAGAGCAGACAGATGGTTTTCTGCATTGGTAGAGGTAACATCTCCAGTGGAATTTTTTCGTGTACCCAAATTTTTCCTCATGAGGAAAGGTCATCATTAGACCTTGGGAACAAGCAGAACTTAATCCTGTGAAACCAGTGCATAACCCCCGCTGTGCTCCAGCCTTTACCTGCTCTTACTCAAGGGCCTGCACATCTTGATCCCTTTTACATTCTTGCCTTGTCCATCCCATGTTACCAGGAGAGCTGATCCCTGGCCAGGGCTTGGACAACCACCATTTTATTTCTTTTTACAAGAAACAAACAGATTGTTTCTGAGTGTGTGTATTCCTGGCATGTACTAAGGCTCCTGCTGTTACCTGTGTGTTCTGATAGTGCTGCAGGAGGGAACAGCCCTCTCTTCTCTGCTGGCAGCACCAGCAGGTCTCTGCCCTGCCCTGAAGTCACTCCTTTCCCTCTAAACTCTGGCATCCCCTCACACAGGACTCTTGACTTGTATTGTCTTGCCACAGATCCAGCAAATGGCAGATGAGGCTGTCGCTGAGATGGACAAGCTGCTGGCAGCAAAGACCAAGGAGCTGCTTGGATAAACACCATCCCAGTGGACACACTGCCCCTCGAGCAGGAATGGACTGCCATGTGCCCCAGCACTCATCCCTGCCTGGAGGCAGCAGCCTCAGGGATGAGCAGCTCTGTGCCTTGGCTGCTCCCATTGCCCACCTGGGCAGTGCTGGAGGGAGGGGGGAACTCTGCTCACTGTTCATCCAGGTGGGAACAGAATTGGGTGAAATGAGAAATAAAACATCCAGAAGGAGGACTGGAGGCTGCTGGAAGGGCTGCCAGGGAAGCTGAGGAGGAAGGACCGCCCTGCTCACCTCACACCCCATTTTGTGCTCCTGCACCACCAGCCCAGCAGGAGCCAGGAACATGTGCAGGGGGAACCTGCTGCAAACCTCAGCATTTATTTTTTCTTGAAATAAAGTCAAAATGAGATGTGGAGGAGCCAGGTCCTGGTTGGTGTGTTCTCTTGGGTTCCTATGTCCCAAAGGAAGCGTTTGCCCCACTGGGAAGGGGTGAGGGAGCTCAGCACTGGCTGTGCAGGGTGGGCAGGGGCTCTGTGGTTCCCAAGGCAAAGAACTGAAACCAGTGCTGTCAGCATGACTGCTTTAGCCAACCAAAAAGCCAACACAGGAACTTTCCAGAACCAGTATCTGCCCCCGTCTGACCAGTTACAGAAGACCTGTGCAAGCCACTAGCACCACATCTGTGGGGTTGGAGGAGGTAGAAGCAGCACAAGGTCCTGAGCACATCACACAGCTCAGCTCCTCGCTGCCAGCAGGTACTTCCTGATGGCAGCAAACAGCCTTGGTGATGGCAGGAGCAGGAAGGTGGTGGCAGCCCCCCAGCCCTGCTCCCAAGGCATTCGGGTTCAAAGAGCGCCGAGTGCTCTGCACTCCTTAAATAAACAACTCCCAAAAAGTGAGTTTGTGTGCTGCAGGGAGGGGGAGGAGGATGAAGGATTTGCTCTGCTAGGGCCCCACATGTCAACAATTTCTCTGCTTTGTGTATTTTGGCCAAAGCCCTTACCATGATAAATGAATAAAGGAAGATGGCGAGCCCAGGGCGGTTCCTCGGCTCGGGAAATTGCTTTCAGCCGATTACTAGATTTCTTTTGACATTTATCAACTGGGCTTCTTTTGCCATTGTTGCAGCCTCAGCATCCCTGCAGCAGCCTGGCCCTGAAGGGCTTTCCTGATACCTGCCCAGGAGCAGCAGCTGCTGAGCTGGGAGCTCCACAAAGCCAGGGCAGGTGGAGAATTGCTCCTGCCCATGGGTGTTTCTCCAGCCTCTTCCCATTCTCCAAGCCCTTGAGGGGTGGTGATGGGCTGATGGCACTGGAGCTTCAGGGGGTCACTGTACAGAGGAATTTCCCAAATATTTACTGCTCTCCCTCACCCTGTAGCATCTCACTGCACCTCCCAGGAAATAAAACCTGTGGTAAAACTGCTCCAGCACTGGGCTGGGGATGGAGCTGCCTGGATGGCTGGGGAGCCCATTTATTTGCATCCCCACCTCAGCCCTGTGCTCTGCACCAGCAAGGAGCAGCCACAGCACCCACAGATGCTGCTCTCAGCCCTGGTACCACCAAAGCAGGGCAGGCAACATATGAGCCCAGGGAGCTGTGCCCCCCCAGCCCATCCTGCTCCCCACGGAACCTTGCAGTACAGGACAAGCAGAAAAAAGCACCAGCCACAGCCCCAGCACCTTCCAACCACACAGGACCACAGCAGCACCACCCAGGAGAAGAGAGGATGGGCATTCACCACCAGCTCGCTCACAGAGCAGCTCTGGACAGGTCCCACTTTCCCTTCACAGCATGAATCACCTGCTGCTTCAAACACCAGGAGCTGCAGCACAAGATCTGCCAGCTCCAAACACTCCTCCAGCAGCACCAGCAGGAACCTCTCACTTGGTTCCAGCCTGGATTGCACCCAGAGCTGATAAGGAGCTGCAGCTGATGCTGTTGGCGGGTGGGAAGGAGCTCCAGCTGTGCCAAATAACCCAGAAGGTGTAGGGACATGGGCCAGAAAGCAGCTGGGCTGGTGTAATGTGGGTCTGTGCCGGTGATGCCACATCGGCCACCACATGGTTTGGCCTCAGCCACAAGTGTCATGGGTGGTGCAGGACAGAGGGTGAGGGAGGGCTGTGGCCAGACCCCTCATGCTCTGCCCTGGGTGTCCACACCTCTCTGCCCTCACCTGGAGCCCTCTCCCAACAGCATCTGTTGACCTGAGGCACTGCTGTGTTCCCACCTGGCTGGTGCTGCTATGGCCTGGAAGGGGAGGGTGTCCCTGGGGGGTCACACTCCCAGCACGAGGGGTACATTCCTGTGCACATTCCCGCTCGGGAGAGACTGCACCCTCCCTAGGCTGCCCACAGTAGCACTGGGCACCACCAGTATGTTCCAGTCTGCTCTGAGCTGCTGGACAGGGACCAGGGCAGGCACCAGCCTCCCGCCAGCTCCTGGACTGGGCGGCCGGGGGGACACTCAAAACGGAGGCAAAGGGAAGGAAAAACTCCAAGGAAGCTGGAAGCTCTCGACATAGTTAAAAAACAACATTGCTCTTCAAAATAGATGTGATTGCGCTCCTTGTGAGTCATCGAGCAGAGACACCAAGATTGCTTTGTGCCAGGGACGAGCCGGGCGCTGATTGTGCCGCCCGGATTTGTATCCAACAGACCCTGGATGGCATGTCAGAGTTTACAGCTCGCATACATTTTCAACAGTGAGCTTTGCAAAATGTATCAATGTAATCTCTGCCTCCTATATTCCGTGTTGATTAGACACGATTTCTGGCTGGATTTTCAGAAAGCTCAAGTGCTTTTTTAATCACTACAGAAGCTCATTATTGCTTTCCAGTGACTCTTATGTCCTTCACTTCTCCTTTCAGATTAGAGTCTATAGTCAGATGAATATTGGATGATTTCATTACATACAAATGCAATCAACAGTTTTGCATAAATTTCTCCTCTTTTCTTGAGTTTCAATTGACCTCAGCACCCGTGGAGGCAGGCGCAATACACATGTAAATGAGCTGGCGTTGCTGCAAAGACACGGATGCGAGAAACAAGATAAACTGTCAGATAATATTCAGGATTTTTAAGAGATCAAAAAATACTTCCTCGTTCAGCCCAGCCGTAAAAATGGCACCTTCAGCTGCCGGGGAATTTGCTTTTGTTTTGCTGTGAGTCTGGCTGTGGACAAAGCCCAGGGGTGGCCCCGGCCGCTGAGCGAGGGGCCGAGCAGAGCCGGGCTGGCCGGCAGCAGCATCGTGGGGATGGGAGCGGGGTGTCCGCGGGGTGCAAGTGGTGCTGGCATGGGACTTATGCCACAGGGAAGCCGCTGCAGAGGTCTTGGCTCCTCACTACACCAGGGAGGTGCCCACCCAGCCCAGCGCCCGCTGCAGAGCCGGGTTTGGTGGGTGAGCCCCGGCCAATGGTGATACCAATGTTGGCACTGCCATCCTGCTCCTGCTCTGCTGTGACCATCTCAACCGTGGGATGCTGAGTTCAGACTCCCCCAGACCCCAATCCGCTCCTGAGCAGCCCTGAGCACCAGCCCAGAGTGGGGGCATCTGCCAGGGCACAGGGCTGAGCCGGGGACTGCCCTCCTCTCACCGCACTGCCACACACGGGGGAACCACGCGTTCCAAATATATTTAAGCTAACACTCCACATGAACAATCAGGCCCAATTTAAACAAACTATAATTAAAGATAAAGGACCTCTTGGTAGGGAAGTCAGGGGAAACTGTCAGCGGTTACTTTGGATTCGAAGCCCTTACCTTTAAAAGAATAATTTTTGTGCTAATGTGAGCAATCCAGCACTCCCACACTCGCCTTCGAGGGCTGGTGGGGAAAGAAACTCGTGGGTTTCTTTTGATGCCTTTACGTGCTAATCTTCTTAACAGATTTTTAATTAATGGGAACAGAGCACTTTGCAGCCGTGAAATCTATTGGTGTAATTGCCTGGTGGATTAGTCCCATTAACCACACAAATTACCTGTCTCCAGGTCGCCAGCCCCACCGGGGAGCTCCCCACGCTGGACACACTGAGCAGCCCCATTCTGAAGCAATTTTGATAAAATAAACTCTCTAATCAGGTAAATAATTCCATAAGGGAAATTGCTGCCTTCCCGCAGCCCCCCTCCAGCGGGACCTGGCTACTTTCAGGGGAATGCAACACGCCTCCAATTACAGACAAATCTCCAGCTCAGAGGCCGTTTGGGAGAAGCCCACGGCACATGGGACCCCCTCGAACCACAGTGGCCAAGGAATTAAGGCATTTAAGCTGTCAGCTGGAATCTGGCCCAGCCCCTGATTACCTGGGGGGACGTGCAGCGTATTTAGGTTCGTGTCCGTTGCAATTTCCTGGCCCCCAGCGTTGATCCCGAATGACTCGTGTCCGTGTCAGGTTCCTGCCCGGGGTCACTCTGACACGTGGCCCCAGGCCTGGGGACAGCAACCTTTGGGCAATTAAGGATGTCCAGGCCAGGCTGAGCCTCGAGGGCTGGGGACGTGCAGCTGTCCCCAAGAGCTGCAGGGTGAGGGGGGCATCAGTGAGGCCACATGGCTGTGGTGGCTGCCATCACCCCTCGGGATGGAGGCCTGGATCTTGGGAGCCCTTCCCAGCCCTGTCTGTGGGTTTCCATGGTCCAACGTAATTTTGGACCTGAACCTGATGATCACTCCCATGGTTACCCTTTGCTCAGCCCCTGAGATGAGGACGTGCCGCCCCAGGGATATCTGGACCCACACACGGTGGGCACAGCAGGGTGCAGGGCACCCACGTGCTCTCACATGGTGATGCACAGCCCCAACACCTTTCCCATTGCTTGGTGAAGGGCTGCCTAGTGCCCGGGGCTCTGCCAGACCCTTGGCCAGGACGGCTCCAAACCTGCTGCACCAGCCAGGGCATCTGCTCACCCTCTGCCTCACACTGGGGAGCAGGGAGGAGGGTCCCTGCCACACCACACTGTGAGCACCTGTGCTGGGGACAGCCTGGGAGGAAGTGACAGCAGTGACACGCTGGTGCCCAGTGCTGGTGGGGATGGCCGTGTGGAGAGGTGGCCTTCAAGCATCCCCTGAAATGCTCAGGTGATCAGTCCCTGCACCAGACCCTGATCCTGGGATGGAGGAGCCCACAGCTCAGTGGCACAGGGATACTCTTCCTGCTGCAAAGGGAGACCAAAACTCTCCCCTGTGGCTGCCCCCATGGCTTCTGGGAGAGGGTGATCCATGGGGCCACCCCACACTG